ATAAATCATGTGTTTATAATATTAAATACATTTACTGTAGTTTAGTAATTATTTATTAAATTTTAAATTGGTCCATAATCGTCTTATCTTTTTGGCTACATTCAAGGAATTGCTGTGTTATATATGTGTGCGATGTTATATTGCGTTCCTGGCGTTTGAGAATTTAAAGAGAAAAAAGGAATTTTTTTTTATTTTGGGAAAGTGTTTATTATGCTATGTCTATTGTTTAATATGGCTTATTGTTGATAATTTGTAAGAGTATTGTTATGAAGGGGGAGAAAAAAAAAAGAAAAATATAATATAAAATTAATGTCCGTATGGATTGATAAGTATGCTGTGTACGAAGCAACCCTATGTAGTAGGGCAGCATTACTTTTAATAAAGTATTTCTCTATAAATAATTAGGTATTAAAGTTAATTCCAAAATATTGTCATATAACTTTTTAGAAAACTAAATTAGTGAATAATTCGATAGATCTTCTCTTTGTGATATTCCTCTACCATTTCATTGTACTTGTGTGAAAAAAGAAGTGAAATACAAAAATATTTCATAGATACGTTTATAACCCTAAATATATTTACTGTAGTTTAATAACTCTAGATCTCATAATATATTTAAATATTTAGATATCTATCGTCCGTTTATTCCGAAAAATCATCATGTAACCTTTTTGAAAATTAAATTAGTGAATAGTTTGATATATTTTTTTTTGCTATATTCCAACAGAATCCACTTAGATTAGTGTGACAACTTTTGACCTGTCTATGACAGACACTGCAAATCTCTTAATTCCGTTTTAATAAACTTTGAAATGGAAAATAACAGTTTAATGACTTATCGTCGTACAATCCATAATCAATGGATCGAACAATCCATAATCAACGAATCGTACAATCTATAATCAACCGGTGATATAATAAATAGGACTTTTGTTATTTTAATATCATTTGTGTTTTTTTAGCTTTAGCTCAGTTTAAAATGCAATTTAAAACATTTTATAATAGCCTAATATGGCCAGAAAATAATTTTTATTCAAAGTTCAAAGAGTAAGTGAAAGGTGTGTGTTGCGCGCACCAGATTTTTATTCTCACCATCAGCATGGGACATTTAAATATTAATTTGGTTTTTCTCTCTAAATTATTATTTAAACTTTAATGAAAATTCAAGTTAATTTTTTTCTGTTAACTAATTTTATTCTCGAAATTTGATTTTGTTCACTTGAAATTATTTTTTTTTCTTAGTTTAATCTTTATTATAGAAGTTTTTTTTTTTTTTTTATTTCAGTGAACTTTTCACCATTGTTTATTTCAACTTTTGTATAAATTTATATCTATTTTTTTATTCAATACATTTTAACATTTAGAAGGGGATTTTTTTATTTAGTTATCTTAAAATCTTTAATTAATTGAGTAATTTTATTTGATATTGGTTGTGCATGTGTTTTTTCTTTAATGTTTTACTGGTCTCATTTTTACTCTTTTCTTCCCTTCTTTTCCACCATTTAATTTTGCTCGAAATTTTTTTGAGGAAACTCGCAGGGGAAAGGATTGTATTTTCATTTTGGAATACCCCTGACCCCAACACTTGGAAAAATATGAAATTTTAATTGATTAAATGAATAATTAATATTCAATGATTATAAAATTATATATTTAGGACGAAATGTTTAAATGACCAAGTGCAACTAATTAATTTAATAATGTACAACGTTTCTGTTGAAAAACTAAACTAATCAACAAATGGGTTGTTCCTGACAAAGTTCTTTACAAATATTTTATACCGTTTAAAGTAAAAATGCTTCACCAGAAACGATATTTTTAATTTATTAATCCATAATGTTGACCTCATATGCGCAGACTTCGGGTGGGGAGGAGGGGACGGTCCCCGTCTCAATAAAAATGATGAGAGGGCGAACATATCGTTTCGCCATCTCTCCTCCCCACCAATAATTTGAGGTGAAAAAAAAATTAAAGTTGATAACAAATGATTTGGAGAAAGTTGGAGAAAATATATTTAATAAGTTCAAGTATTTTATACAGAATGCTTTTATGGACATTTTTACATAACAAGTGAGACTGTGAAACTTATTTTTCTTTGGACGTTTATACTTAATTCCTCTCTTCAATCTCTAATATGCTCCATTATTATAGGATCCTCAATTATTGGGTAGCTCTTGAATGACATATTACAAATTTGAAAATTCTTATGTGATATTGATTAATATAATATTAAAAACTTGACCAATGGTTTTCATTAATACACCCTGGTAGCCGAGCTCTATATAAATAATATTTTATATAACTTCAACATTTTTTTGTATTATTGTTGTCTACCTTTGCTCTTCAAATCCGAGGCGGAGTTTCTTAGAATCGTGTTTACTTCTTTATGAGTGATTGGCTTAACAAAAAAATACCTCGTACTCTCCTATACCTGGAATACGCCGACCGTTTGTGGAAAAGGAGAGGAAAAGATCTCCACCAAGCCTGAAACGTGTCAAGAAACCCACAGAAGTGGCGATCCTGATAAAATCCCCTTACCGTAATACAGACCGCAGGATGAACGAAGACTCCTCCTTTGTTTGTCTGTTTGGATGTGCAAGATACAATATACGTATAGATTTGCTTTTTTTTTTATAAACTGAGAAACAAATGCTGTTGATTATATTAAATAAATTCAAATGTATAATAAATTACACATTTAAAAAAAATTATAAGCAATAAATAAATAAAAATCTTCAAAGGGTTTTATGTTATATCTCTAGCTCTAGTTTACTTACTCATAGCCAATTCGTATAGTTTACTCTCCATGTTCCTGCTTTGTTGTTTATGCATAAATGATCATGTTATAAATACAGTTTCATATTTATGTCAGAGTTACCACACGTTTTATTATTTTCAAAAATGGCGTAAATTTATTGACATCAAATTTCGTGACTTTGAAGAAAATTATATTACAATTAGGGTAACCGCATCAGTTACATAACAAAGGAACTTTTTTTCGCTTATTCTACATCTTACTGTAATCAAAATTTTTTTTTAACCCTCTGCTAATGATGAATACAAAAATCACCTGCGATAATTTTGTTCATTATCTGACAAATTAAGTCAAGAAAGTTATACCAAAAACGTCATGCAACTTGTTATAAATAATTAAATATATTTGAGTGGTTTTTCCAGATTCTGAAAATAATTTTTAGTTGTGACAATATTTTTTTGTTGTGTCATTTTTGGAAATGTGTCAAATAAGCTCTTAAATGAGTTATTTCTAAAAAAAAAATTGAAAAATTCGTATTTTCATATGATAAGTTATCTCTCAACGGATCCTGGAATTTCCTTTTTTCATCGGAAAGTACTTCGCGCCAACGTCTTACTGTAATCTGAATGTTTTTTGAACCCTATGCTAATGATGAATACAAAAATCACCTGCGATTATTTGAGATTTTGGCAATTATCTGGAAAATTCAGTCAAAAAAGTTATACCAAAAACGAGTAAGAAAAAATTGCTATCCGTATCTAAATAAATATATACCTAATATAATTTACTCCTTTCGGTCATAGATAACTGGAGGAAGAGTACAGAAACAAAAACACTGAAAGAAAATGCGGAGGAAAATATTGAAGAGAAATTCAACAATGTCGTGACTCATAATTAATTAATTAATTCTGGAGAATTAATTTCAGCTTCCTACCATTTGTTTTATCTTCATTTATTAGTAGGTTGATTTGCTCTTCGTTTCTTACCACTACGTTCTGTTGATAGTAATATAGGTAATAGATATTTATAATTGATTCTGTTTATAACCTTATACAATAACTTTTCATTTTACAACATATTACATGCAAAATATAATTTATTTATAATTGAAAAAAATTAACAATAATAATAATGGTTGGTATTACCGAAAAAATTGATTGTATATTAATTCAGAATGCTCTACTTGCAATAATAAATTTAGTTTTTCAAATCTCTTGCTTAAATTGAATGTTTTCCAAAGTTTTTGCCGTTTTTAGGTCATTTCCGATCACTGTGCGCTGTAATTATTATAGTTATAAGCTTCTCCGTTGGACAGTTAGAAACTCTACGATTTCCTTTTTCTTTTTAACACTTTAAAATTGAAAAAAATATAGTCATAATCTCCATTAAAAAAAAACAACACCTTTTTGCACTAGTGATGGAGACCCCGTAATTCAATTGTTCTAGTAATGTACAGGGGATCGGCACCATTAATATACATACCTCAGAAAAATTTTAAAATCTTTATTCAACTATAGAGATAATGATACAGATAACATAATATAAATGTTCAACTTACTCTTAGCAAAACTGTTAGTTGGAAGATATGAAACACACTCGTCTCAAAAACACTACAGAAAAGCAATGACAGCCATTTTAAAAGTATCTTTTGGAAATTTTGTTCATACAGTCTATAGAGGGTATTGTTCTTAAATATAGGAAAAACTGGAACCTTCAAATCGGCAAGGAATCTTATTATTTGCATTTAATGTTCAACCTGTCCATCGATTCTCCTATGAAAAGTCATGTTTGAGGAAGTAGTGTGAATTACAAATACTAACTTTGTTTCTTTTTGAAAAAAACATTTGACCTAACTTCCCTCCTTTAGTCGATATATTGTTCCAATATTACACTCGTACTGTGTAAGAAGATGATAATTATAAATTTCATTCTCTTGTAATTACTAGAATAGATGCAGTAACACACACGGATCATGTCCCGTTTAGTTCCGAAAACAAGAATATTATACATGAAACATACACCGGATTATGAGGTTTTCATGTAACGCTGGATTTAAACCCTTATATTATGTGAGTTTAAATCAGAACTAAGAGTAACCACAATTATAGTACCAATACTAGGACAATTTTGATATTTATAGAAAAAAAAATGTATAATTGATATAAACAGATGTATTTTAAGATATTGAAAACATGTATGATTAAAAATCTGCCAGCGAAAATCGAGTTTTAAAGTTTGGCCTTACCGTTGTTGATCGGAATAATTTCGCTGAAGGCTGGAATCGGTGACATAACGAGGAAGCTGCCAAACCAGATGGCAGCGATGAGACGATATGCATGATCCAGAGTCTGCCATGCCCGCGACCTGAGAGGGTGGCATATGGCGTAGTAGCGCTCAACTGAAAGGCAGACTAAGGTCCAACCGCTCACCGCAACTGAGGAGGCTGCAACAGTAACTTGAAGTTTAACCAAAGCACAAAAAATAACATTGACAGTTTTACTTTCATTATTTGTAATATAAACTGTCTCATCGCGACTTACGCTACCGTGTAAATTGTTTACATATATTCCCTAAGATGTTAAAATGAATACACGTAAAGATTAGGATAAAAAAAAAATAATAAAGTATATATATACACATAGAGAGGAGTGTGTTGAAGATGAGTAGAAAATAAAATACATTTCAAAGAAATAAAATCTCATGAAAATTAGTACTAATAGGAAAATTAGAAGTTAAGAAAAACAAATTTTACCTACTCACAATGCTTTGTGAATGATGATGAAAATTCACGTTCAACCCAGAATAAAAAATATGAGAAAAACATAACGTATAAAGAAAATTAAAGTCTTATGACATAATATATATTTAACCAACGTCTGATTGGGTTGTGAAGAGGAACTGGAATAAGAGGGTTTTAAAGGTGGATAAGGATGATGCATGGCGGATTCTTAGTGAGACGGAATTCCAGAATGCAGTGGAACGGACAACAAAGGAATTTGACAAGGACAATGATTATCGATTAGTTTGTAAAGAAATATGCCAAGGAAATATTGTCTTCAAAAGGAAGGGAAGAGCCATCCTAATTCAGCATAATGGTGCGAAACACGGGAACGCCTCAGGGTCCCGGTGACAAATCTTACAACGGCATTCATAATTCTTTTCAGTCTCTCCCCGAGTTCTGCCGATAGGTCACCGTTCACCACTCACCCGAAATCAAGGTGATGGAAGATGAGGGAAGATACTAGGAGTCTACGTGTGGAAATGAGTAGGAGATGGCGGAAGCGATGGAATAGTTTCAATTACCAATTGACCGTTGGGAGATGTGAGAAATATGGTGTTTCCAGGGGACGGTTTGGTCAATGAAAATGCCTAGGGTTTTTACTGAGGAGGTGAAGATGATGATTCCATTTATATAGAAAAATACATTGCATTTATTTCCAATTTGTGTAATTCAAACAAGAAACATCGACGACATTTAAGTAGTATTTTTTAAATTATTTAGTAAAAAAAAAAAAAGAAGACGAGAAATGCTTATGTAACATTAAAACTGATTAGAGGATTTCGGAAAGAAAATTATTTTGAGAACGGTCTTATCACAGGTCTTAATATAAAGGTACCAGTGGTATCATTTAATTAATAATAGTTATATAGTTTTTATGGTGACACCTCTTATAGGTTTTGCGAATATCGGTGGTACGTCATACAAGATGCCAATCATTCCAATATTAACAAAGTGGCTTACATCGGTCGCTGTCAAAAGACATTAAACTAATTCTAGAGGTTTTTAAATTTTTTTTTTTTTATCTCTCGAAAAGAATTTTTAGAAATATCCTTAAAACGTATTGCGAAAAATTTATATTCAAGATTGTATTCGGATCCAAGCCAATCAAGTTGCTGTTTTAATCTTACTTGGAATTTCTTATCAAAATAATGATTGCCATCAAAACACAGAGATTCTTGACATAAAAATTATGCGTAATTTGTTTTCTGGATTGTGTATTTATAAATTTGGTACCCTTGGTTTGAATATGATTTCGAATATGCTGCATTTCACGGACTTTCTTGAGGGACCCGTTGAAGCTCTAGTGCTGGAAAGAAAAACATTACAAGATAATACGGTTGATACTAGATGATTTCGATCAGATCTTCCATAACTTTCCTTTATCCATTATAATGATCAAGTGTTTCATTATCACAGCCATAGTACAAAATATAACGAAGCTATTTACTAGAATTTCCCTTTTCGTACGTATCAGTCATCTTTTGTGTAAATAGTCGTCTTTTATAATCTTAGTTGTACTGACTTTTGTTTCGAAGTAAGTGTAGATAACTGTAAACATACATACGTTTTGCATACGAACAAAGCAGTGACATTTATTTCAATTAATTAAGAAGTTCATGTTCTTTTAAGAATATTGAAACCAGCAACCTAGCAGAACAAATTGTGTTTGGTATGTCCTTCTACTGAACATTGGTCTGAAATTATAATGATCTAACTGAGTTATCACCACACTCATCACAAACCAGGGATCTAGCTTTACCAATGATCATTGCAAATCCCCTTGCTACACAGTCCAACGTTGATGAAGATCAACATAATTAGTTACTGTCCTCGCTTATTAAGCCATAAGAGTAGAGTCAAGACACATTTGGGATAATTATTATCGCACCTTTATTTATTTACAAATTCTAATGGAATAAGGACAGAAATAATTTTTCATAATAGTTAATGATAATAACCGGTATTATTGGTAAAAAATTTACCGGTGCATTTCTCATTTGTGTGTTTCATTTTTTTTTTTTTTTATCAAATTCATATAGGAATTTAACAAATAGTCTCGGGAAGTCGTTTTACTATATTTAAAAAAGAAATGTGGCCACCTTCTATATTTAAAAGAGTAGATGTTTTAATTTTTATAAAATGTTGATAAATACTTTTCATAGAATTCTATCAAATATCTACATACTGCCACTTGTGGATCCAGGATTTCAATTTGGGGAGAGGCTTAAGCCTTAGAGGCTTAAGGTTTTTATTTTTTTGGAAGAAAATGACTTTGGAAGAAAAAGAAAGAAACTAAGTACCTAAGAAATGGTGTTTAAATTATTCTTCAAGTCCTATTAAATGTGATTACCCGAACAATAATATTTTTAGAGATATTTTTTTTTTTTAATATTCTTTCCATAAGACATGGTAATATTTTACCATTTTGGGTGGAGGAGCTTCAGCAGCTTGAAAGCCCTTCTCTATCCCTGTAGATCCCCCTGTGCATACCGGTGCTGATACTGGTGGATGAATTAGTTTGTCCTCGTGGTCCTTTTTGCCAATCTCTGATGACTGCCTTGTGTTCAAGGCTGCGCACTGCGTACAAATAAGTGGGAGTGTCAATATTCGTTTTCCGAAGGCTCTGAGAAACAAATATCCGAGAAAAACAGGTAGGAATCGAACGCACAACGTTTAAAACCGAATACTACGTGGTCAACGTCCCGACGTGCTCTGCCATCTTGTGCGTACTTAACTATTACAATTTTTAATATGCGCAGTTAGCTCAATTAATAGAGGTATCAGCTGGAGACACTTACTGAAACTCCCTACTGCATACAAGCCCCTGGAGAAGACCTGCAAAGTCGGGTCGAAACGTTGGCTTTAAATAAAACAGTTACTATTAGTTAGCCTTTTTATGACCGCCACCCCTGACCATCTTCTTACTCAATAATACACCACGGTCAATAGGATGGATTGTGTTCAATATATCGAAACGATTTCTCTGCTAAATAAAAACAAAATATAACAGCAGTGTTATGAATAAACAACCTATGACAAAATTAATAGTTCGTGATATAATATTATAAACATACCTTATAAAGATTTAAAGATTTCTCAGGAAGGTTAATTAAGAACGTTTCGTTTAATTTCAAATGTTTAGCTCCTCTAACCTATTTTTCCGGTTTATGAATTAATTTCTCATGCTCTCATTTTAAAGCAAGACAAAGTCCCTAAGGAAGTAATTGGTAAACCATGGCTTAAGAACTTCTTTTCACAGGTCTACTTCATCTAAATATTCCTTAATTGCACGTTCCTCTGATTTCTTCAATTTTAAATATAGGGTTATTTCCGTAGACTTTTTTTTTCAACTTTTCTTATTTTTTATAAAGTATAGATTTTCAACAATTGTGTTTGATTCGACTTCTTGATAATAACATATTCATTAGAAGAAGAGAAAAATATCATTTATTTATATTTTAATTTCATTAGGTAGAAGAAGGATAGATATTTAATGCGGGGGTTGTAATACTAATATTTATGTAATCAGATAGTTCTCGCAAAAATATGCCTGTATTTATAAATTATTTCTGAAAAGTGTTTTTTTGTCGGTATTTCTTATATTTCTGGATTGCGCCATGATTTTGGTGATTACTTTCTCCAACAGTGAAGAAAAATAATCACATTAACTAGAATAGCAAGGAAAAGTTATATAGAAAAGAAAACTTTATTTTCTCATAATTCAAATTTTATAGTAGGTTATGCCCGTGATGATTTGAAAAGTTTGTATAATCTCTTTATTTAGGAATTTTCCACAACAGTGTTCCTTGACCTGCATATCTTTCAAGATCTTTTTTCCCTTTTTCGATCCATCCCTGATGTCATGTTCCGACGGGCATTTTTCGTAACTGGAGATATTATTTAACATGTACAAACCAGCGTAATCATTTTCTTCAATATTTGTGAGAATACCCCTTTTCAACTCTAACTGTTCAAGAATTCTTCCATTTAACATTTTTTTTTTCTCTTAAGTTTCTCCCTACCTTCATAAATTAATTTCTACTGATATTGTATGTATTTATCAATGATCCATGTCTCCGAAGCTATGCTCGTTTGTTTTGATATTTTAGGCACAGAACATCATAATCATCAGCACCTTACTTATAAAAGTATTATTACTAAAATATTTGAAATAAATAAAATCAAATCAATAAATTAAAAAATAAATAAATACAAATTAATAAAATAAAATAAATATATATATTAAGGAAAACAAATTAAATACAGGTCTTTTATTAAACGTCCCCTTATTATAAAAGCTATTATTATGTGAAATCTACTGCTGTCGTTTCCTAACCCTATTGATATATCTTGTGATTTCTCTAAATCATTCAATCCACGGCTATAATATGGGCAATGTTGGAAAATGTGAGTTATGGACAGGACACTATTGCAGTATAGGCATCTATGTGGTGCAATCTTAGTGATGGTGTGTCAGTCTTGAATGTCCGGTCATAAGCCGGGTAGGGACGACTTCCTCTCTGCGAATGATGGGAATAGAAGAACTGCAAGGTCTGACATCTCTCTTTATTAGTTTCAGTTTGCTTGGAGCACTCTTATCCCATATGTACAGCCGTTTCTTTTGGATATTTTCTTTAAAGCTTATTTCGTTATAGACTCAA